ATTTTTGAGTAAGTACTTAAGATCTTGGACTTTGAAGTAAAACCATCCAGGTTACCACACCAAATGTGACCTTGGGTTGATGACTTAACCTTCCTGTACCTCAGCTCCTTCAACTGTAAAATAGAGATTATAATATTTGCTTTGTGGGTTAGTGTGAGGATTAAATGAGTGAATACATGTAAAGCTGATAGTAAGCACTAAGAGTGTTAGTTATTATTTGAAATATATGGCTTCCTATGGAAAAAAAAAATGTTTGCTAGTGTTATGAGAATTCAAGGGTCTATGAAGGTCTTAGAGGGGAATATCTTAGCCCTCTACATGAGTTTCTTCATTTCCATTGCTTTTCTTTAATTTATTACCTGTATTTAATCAGTGCTTGAATGGCCTCTAATGATATAAAACTATAATTTAAAATTCTATATGAAATTATTTGTAAAAGTTTTAGATAAGATGTACATACCTTCTACAGATTATATGACAGTAAAATGAGATGATTGGTGACAAGAAGCCAAATGACTATTACCAATTTGTCTAATGATCCAATTCTATTCAAGAGGCTATTAAAGTGTCTCAGACAATTTAAACTTGATTTTTGGCAAGGATACTTCTCACGTGATGGAACATCCTGCACTTTTCCAAATATCTTGAAGAAACTGAGCACTGCAAATCTTGTCTTTATAGCATCTTATTTGAGAACAGGGAAAATTATCAAACAGATGTTTCCATAAACACAAATTCAGAATGCTATTGGGCCATGAGAATCTATTCCTTTAAGACAGGGAGAGGTTGGCCACGTTTTAAATCCCTATGCATCATCATCTCAAAGCTAACCTGAATTAAGAAATGGCAGCAGATGACATGGCAAATATATCAGCAGGGTTTATCAGAAATTATATTTGTGAGAAAAATAGCAAATAACACAAATATTGACCTAAGTTCATAAATATTGACCTAAATCAAATAATCTACAATTTGGCTATATTAAGATAAAGATCACTGCAAATTTTGAGAGGGTCTGCACTCAGGTCAATTTGCACAGATCCAAATGTTAAACAAATATATGAACAGTCTGCCCTGTGACAATCACAAACTTCCCACTCCCCACTCCCCTCACCCCAAATTATTCTAATGTAGGCCAGGTCTTTCAGCTTTTAATCAAAACAAATGATTCTTTATAAAAAGAGCTAGACTATGAGTTTCATATAGACTGATGTTTATAACGAGTATTTTGTTTATTTTTAGCTTTTTCAATGATTTTCTCAAATAAGCAATGTAATTCAAGTGTCTTTGCCAATGCCCAATGGAACTTTGTTAGCCATGTTGTAGTTCATGTAAGATCCAGCAAAAAACTGTCTTAGATGCTCCAAAAAATTCAATAGATTCACCCTTCTGTTAGTAAGGCAGTAGTCATTTTATTATTTTTAAGGCTATAGAAACTTTTAAACAAATAATTTAAACAAAATATTTTTATTACCCTCAGTTTTGACCTACTTTTCCTTTTGTACTTAGCTGAAATCAGATTATAGAAGGTGATTAAGGAGAGAGATAAGCACAGACAATTTTGTGGTCTTTTTATTAAAAAATAAAAATCACCAAAAGAAAAAAAGAAGAGGAAATGGTATTAGTCCCCTGGTATCTGATATTTCCATACCATCATACATAAATGTTTGTTGCCTTGAGTTAGCCAAATATTAGAAACCCAAAGGTCAAGGAGAACTGTGCAGACTGAGCTCTAAAAATATTTATGCCTGGCCAGTATGGCCTAGTGGTTGAGCATTGATTCACGACCATGAGCTCACGATTGGATTTTTGGTCAGGGCAGTGATTGTGAACTCCACCCCCAGTAGGAGGTGTGCAGGAGGCAGCTGATAGATGATTCTCTCTCATCGTTGTTTCTACTTCTCTCTCCCTCTCCCTTTCTCTCTGAAATCAACAAAAATATATATAATTTTAAAAATGCGTAGGATAATTTCAATTTGCCTAAATATAACTATTTGCACAGTTATGATATAAAATCATAAATACTATATATATTATGAATAGAAATATTTTTGCATAGTAGTAGATATTTAATAAATGCTAGTGGAACTGAATAATACTCAAAAGCTCAGTCTTTATCTGGTAAATAACTCAGTACAAATAAAATTGGGATGTCCATGATTATTATTTAGGACTATCTGTATAAGTATATCCTCAGTTTACATCGGAGATCTGTTCCTATGGCACGATGTAATGCAATTTTCGCCGTAAGTCAGAATCCACCTACATAAGCACCTATATCATTCACATGGAGCACATACACAGCAGTAATAAAGTGAAATAGTTTAAAAAAAAATTAAAGAAAGATAACAATTCCTGACTTTTACTTGTGGTAAATAAATAATAAAAAAATATATACATATGTTGAAATGACGGAACTGGTTTTTTTTTTTTTCAATAAATAAATGGGAGATGGCGACAAAACCATGAAACTATGTACATCCAAGTAACCCAAGGATTGCCTGTATATATAAAAGCCCAAGTGACCGTTATGACCGAAAGCCTGGAACAACTGGTCAACCAGTCACTATGACAACAAGCACAGACCACCAGGGGGCAGACTCTCAATGCAGGAGCTGCCCCCTAGTGGTCAGTGCGCTCTCACAGCAGGCGCACTACTCGGCTATACTCAGCTAGAGGTCGGCCTCACAGCTGGTGAGCACGGCTGCACAGTGGGAGCCTCTCCCGCCTCCACAGTAACACTGCTAAGCCATGTGGCGGCAGGTGCAGAGGGTCCAGGATGAATGGCAGCAGAGCTGCGCCCAGTTGCCTGCCGCTTTGGCACTGCTACATCCCCCAGGGGGATGTCGGACTGCTGGGTTTCAAAATCCACATTCTGACATCCCCTGAAGGGTCCTGGAATGCAAGAGGGCGCAGGCCAGGCTGAGGAAACCCACCTGTGCATGAATCCATGCACCGGGCCTCTACTATTTTTATAAGGGGCTTTTATTCAATGCATAAGGCTTATTCAAGGCATTCATAAAGAGAGAGAGAGAAATTATAATGGCAATAAGAAGAGCATGGGCTCTTTATTGCATTAAGGAATGACGTCAACAGATTTAAACTGGGTAAAGAGATAATTTTAATGAAAATAAAAACATATTCACAATAAAGAATGGCCTCAAATGAGGCCTCTTTCTGTTTTCAACCCGTTAATTTTTTACAATGTTCTGTATCAGTTAAAGACTACAGTAATCAGGCAAGAGCACATTTAATCTTTGAGGTCTTCACACAGATGCAAAGTGATGGCAATTATCCACAACTGCTTATGTGATGATTACTGAGTGATCAAGATTCCTCGTTAGCATGATATGCCACGCTCATTAGAGTAGCTGGTTAAAGTGGTGATGGTTCACTTTGCTGAGGTCTCTTTTTGTTTTTTTTCACAGAGTGGATGAGTTTACTAAGTCCCAGATAATTTGGTCACCTTGGTGCACCCTCTCTTATACATGTAACCTTTAGGATGAAGTAAATGTGTACCTAGAGGTGCCCATTGCCACTCATGGCTGGATGGCTAAGGGTGTATTAAAAGAGCATTGAATCAACATCTAGAATAAAGTACATACACAATGTTACTTGAGCTTATCAGCTGCCTATGAAATGTGGACTGAGCTATTCTAGGAAGGAAGAAAAAACATCTAACCTAGCTCTTTAATGTCTTCCTCTTCATTCTTTGAGTCTCGGAACTTGTGCCCTCTCTTCAAGAAGCAGAGGACCCTCTTTTGTTCTCCACAGCACTGGATACTCCCCTTACACAGAGAACTTAATCACTTTGTCTCCATCAGTAGATACATGAGTTCCATGGGGACATATTATTTATAAGAGCCTGTGCAAGCCCAGGTTCATATTAGGAATTTAGGAAAGGTCTACTGAGCTGATCATGAGACCAAACTATAAAATTATATTCTTCCTTCTTCTTTTATGGATGGAGAAAGCATAGGTCTTGTATGTGCTCATTCATTCATTCACTGAGCTTCAACAGTATGAGATACTGCAAAGTGCTAGAGGTACTATAATAAAACATTAAGTTAGAAAATTATAGTACAATTTGCCCTGGCTGGTTTGGCTCAGTGGTTAGAGCATTGGCCTCGGACTAAAGGATTCCAGGTTCGATTCCGGTCAAGGGTCGGTTGCAGCCTCAATTCCTTGCTCCAGTAAAGGGGCGTGTAGGAGGCAACCAATCAATGGATCTCTCTCACATCAATGCTTCTCTGTGTGTGTTTCTCCCCATCTCTTCCACTCTCTCTAAAAATCAATGGAAAAATATCCTCAGGTGAACATTAACAAAAATATTATAGTACAGTTTGATAAATGTATCTAAAGATAAAAATATTGAGAGTCAGGAAATGTGGAGGTATGTAGTGCAACCTATCAAGAAGACTTTTGAGGAGATAACATTTGAGTTGTGTTGCAAAAGTTAAGCAAAAACAGGAGACAGGGAGACAGACTTCTAGGCAGAAGGTCTTTAGAAAACATGGCATGTTCAAGAAATAAACAGGAGAGAGACGGGATTGGGACAGAAGCCCCGGTAGGCAAAAACAGTTAGAAGCAGCTGATGCTTGTGAAGGAATCTGAGCTTTATCTTCGGTGTAATGAGAACCGACGAGGACTGTGAAGCAAAGGAGCAATGCTATCAGCACTAGTTAGACATAAGATTCTGTAATAAGCATGGAGGAAAGTTGGTACATTCAATCATCTTTGAGAAACTAGGGTCAAGAAGGCTGGAGACTCAAATTTGGAATGTTGACCATTAGCTAAATCAAATGAAAGAAAAAAAAAATTAAACAAGATAAATATTCCTTTCCTTGGGAGGCTTATATGATAGTTCTCTCATAGAGATTGTAAACTCCTTGGGAAAATAAACTAAATTTTTCTCTGAAGTCTAATATTTAAATAACAACATTCTTATTGTCATAGTAATTTAGTAATCAAACTGCTGCAAATAGAAGGACTTTTCATACCTGAGACACTTTGCCTGTTGGAATCTGAGTCCCCATTACTGGAGTTAGAATTGTTGGAGGAGTTGTTGTCAACCCCTCCCAGAAGGGGGCGCAAGTGGCTTACTGAGACTTGTTCAATGAATGATGTTCCATACTTGCGAAAATACCACCATTCAAATATCTAGAATAGAAAAATAATAAGTATGATTATGGTTCTTGTTATTGTTTATGGTTTTTGTATACATGCCCATAAAATATACTGCATTTACTAATTATATGTACCTTTACTAATTATATGTACCTTAAATAATTTTTTAAAAATTTTGTTTAATTTATTCTAAAACTTAAAGAATTTATAAAAGTCAAAATACCAATTATACTTTAAATTCTTAATGTTGTTTTCTCCAATTAATATTGTTTTTCTTTTAAAAAATCTGCCCTGGCCACTGTGGCTCTATTGGTTGGGTATCTTCCTGTGCACTGAAAGGTCTCTGGTTTGACTCCTGGTCAGGGCTCAGGCCTGGGTTGCAGCCTCAATCCTAGGTAGGAAGTGTGCAGGAGGCAGCCGATCAATGTACTGTTCTCACATTGATGTTTCTCTCTTTCTCTCTCTCTCTCAAATCAATAAAAATATTTTTAAAAGAAAAATCTGTAACTACAATTATGGATAAAAGAACACTTTAAAGAGTTTTTCAGTATTATTTTTCTCCAAATTTACATATCTATAATAATCTATAATAATAAAAGCATAATATGCTAATTAAACTGGACAGACGAACGACCTTCCGGACATCCTTCCAGGTGACCTTCCGGATGAAGACTGCGCGGGCCAAGGCAAGCCGCCACGGTTGTGAGGCCGAGCCCCTTGCCTGAATTAATGCATCGGGCCTCTAGCTATTCTAATAACAAAATCATTACAGCTGAAAGAGAACTCTAAAAATACATACAAATAGGCCAGTTTTAGAAGTATGGCTTATGAAATGCTCCACCTAAGATTGTGATAAAGCCATACCTGCATAAAATCATTAAGATAAGATAATTCCATTTAAAAAATAAACAATCTCCTTAGAAAAATGCTGGTTTTACAAAAAGAGTGGAAGGCATCCCATTTCATGTATGGATAGCATTCAACTGCTAAGAGATTCAGCAATGTCCCACCTGCTAAGAAGTGCTTTATAAACACAAGCATCTACCAATAATGTTTCCTAGTTCACAAACATACCAACTGTTATGTAGTGTGGACTGCAAAGGAGGAAAAAAAATAACGTTCAGTGAATTTCCTAAGCACGGGAAAGCAGTGACCTCTCCAACCCCCCGCACCTGGCTCCCTGTCCCTCTTGTGGCACTCTCCCCCACAGCCTCTCCTCTCCTCCACCTGATTCGGAACATCTTTTTTAAGCAGTCACAGATCTTTGCTCAGAAGAAATTTAAGAATCATCTATATCCCAGAGTCTCATAGCATAATATATAACAATAAAGAATGTGAAATTAACATAGAATTAGTTACCTTTAACTTTATTTATTTCATAAAAACAAAATTTTGATATCTACTCTGGAATAGGCTTTGAGCTATTATTTTTAAATTGATATTTTCTCTTTTTTGCTCTAACAAAAAAATTCTTTCAGAGAGAAAGAACATCTCTGAATGACCAGAAGAAAATATCAATTAGACCAAGAACTTGATTAAATCCAGAGTTACCATTATTGCCCATGTGAATTTCCATGTATTAAGAGATCAAGTTTAATAAATTTCACTGTGCAGATGGGAAAATATGCTAGGAAAGCTAAGAATAAGAAGGACTCGTCTATAATATTTGGAATGCTAGGAATAAATCTTGCTTAAAGAAAGAAATTTAAGAATGGTAAATTTATAAACCATGGATACAGAAGAGAGTTTGTAACCTCAGGTAAATTATTTAATCTACTGGAAAGCAAGTTTCTTTAGTGGAAATCATATTTATTATAAATCATATTTAATGTTAAGAATATATTTATTAGCCCTAGCTGGGACATTGGATAGAATGTCAGCCTGCAGACTGAAGGGTCCTGGGTTGATTACTGTCAAGGGCACATACCTGGGCTGCGTGCTTGATTCCCATTAGGGGGCGTGCAGGAGGCAGCCAATCAACGATGTCTCATCATTGATGTTTCTCTCTTTCTCTTTCTCTCCCTTCCTCTCTAAAATCAGTAAAAATATACTTATTATTAAAGGTCCCCAATTTTCACAACCATATAAAACACCTGGTCTCAACCTCCATGGAAAAGGCCTAGTTCAGTGCCTGCTGCCTAGGTAGTTCTCAAAAATAACAGCAAAGCTATCGTTTAGTATATTGATCACACACACACCTCACATACTGCTAGGACACACCTCTCTTTTTGCCAGTCTACAATTTGTGCTAGTACAGTATCTTGTCCTGTTACTACGCTGTTGGCTGAAAACCCTGGAAATCATTGTGAAAAGGAGTATTGCTCACCATTCAGTGCTGACCATCCAACACAGCCCCGAAGAGATTCGTGGCATTGCCTTTAGGAGAGAAGACTTCAAGGGACTCAAAACACAGAACTGTGGGTGGCTCTCAATCACCTGTGACGGGGAGCTCTCTTTGCTCTGCTTCCTCTATTGTGCTGCGTGGGCCCCTGCCAGGCCTTAGCTCATTCACTCAGCCACACAGCGCTAACTGCTCCACACCAGGCATGGCTGTTCCAGAGCACAGATGTGGCTCTGCACTACCAGTCCGCGCCACAGACCTACAATGCCTTTCACAGGTTGCTCCTGGGGGTGGCCTATTCCCATCACAAAAAGCACCTCGGGATGCTTCAGATTTCTCAGTTTTTCCAGCAGAACCAGAGAATGTAGGTACTAAATTTTAGTAACCAAAAGGAACTTTAAAGTACCATGTACAGTTTCCATTTAGAGATGAGGAATGAGGTCCGTACGTGAAGGTGCTGTGACCTGACCAAAATCACACAGTTACTTAAGTAGCTGCTTAGTCTAAATCCAGAGCTCCATGCCATTAATCTTACTAGGGCCCTACAATAATAAGATATCATTTTTTAAAATATATTTTATTGATTTTTTACAGAGAGGAAGAGAGAGAGACAGAGAGCTAGAAACATCAATGAAAGAGAAACATAGATCAGCTGCCTCTTGCACCCCCCCACTGGGGATGTGCCTGAAATCAAGGTACATGCCCTTGACCGGAATCAAACCTGGGACCTTTCAGTATGCAGGCAGATGCTCTATCCACTGAGCCAAACCGGTTTCAGCAAGATATCTTTTTAACACTCTTGATCATTTAAAAAATAGACAGATGTAGCCTATCCCTTTTCAAATATTCACTTTTCATGTGTCCTCCCACTCTGTCTCTCTTGAATTTCCTAGCTGTCAAAACCAATCCAGAATTAGCCAATCAAACGGGTCCTGATAGGTCCTGGCACCTCATTTACTCTAAGGTGTAAATGACTCTTATGAACTGGATATTTACATTATATTGGAGACAGACCTTCTATACATATTTCTAAAGTAGGAATAATGGACCTCAGCAAAGACTGGGTTATTTCTGAGCTGTTTGGGAAGAAGAGGAGGGCCTTTTCTCAGCAGTAGAAGCTTCTTAGCCATCACTGTCTTTCTTTACACTAGTGCCCCCACCACCCGAGAACAGAGGCTCCAATATGTACTGAATGAACAAATACTTCAAGAAAGACGGAAAGGACTTAAAGCCTTCTTCAACTTCAAACCAAGTATTCTATTTTGGGATCTCAGCATAACAAGCTGCCTCTTATCCTGAAACATGACAGGCTTTGGGCCAGCATCTCACAGTATTTTACTGGAGCCACACTAATCCAATGGGCAGATGGTGTTACCTAACATGCACAGGTTTGTTGTCACTTTGAATTCTTCTCCGCGGTGCATAACCTACATAGCTCTCATAAACAAATGTAGGTTTTAAAATTAGTTTTTGGAATTCTAATAGCTACTAGTAACTGGGCTTGCCACAGCACAACAAAACAGTTTTTAATCTGAAAAATAACCATAAAATTAAAATATAAATTAACACATTTCATAGTCTTAAAAACATAATATCTCTTGTATGTGTTTCCTACTCATGTTCCATCCCAAGGATTATACAGCATCAACTGGGTTAAACATTTAGAAAGTAACAGTGAACCCACCATCTAGCTAAAAGGTAAAACCCTAACACACTTCATCACAGCTGAGTTGTATGACCTTGGTTGGTTCTTTTGATTCTCTGGGGCTTGATTATTTAATATGTAAAATAAACTCACAGTAAGCACTTAGTTAATGTTGGATGGATGAATGGGTGGGTGGATCGATGGATGATTGGAAGACTGGATTAATAGTTGATTAGAAGGATGAATGGATGGATGGATGATAAGGACTTGCCTGGTGATTTAATGGTGTGCAATTTAAATAAACAGTAGGACCAATGAATGGGTTTATATTAATTTTGTTTGCTATTTTTTTAAAAAGATAGGCCTACATATATTTGTGGGAGAAGAAAGAATCTAGTGGAAAGAGAAACTGAAGATGCAAAAAAAGTCAACCAACCATGAGGTCAGAAGCCAAAGCCCAGGAAGCACAGCCACCCTTCCTTGAAAAGGTAACCTACCATTTCTTAATCTAAGACAGGAAGAATGGGGAAGGATGAATGAGTAGAGGGATCCATTCTATTTTGGAAAGTAGGGTGTGATGTGAGCTATTTTACATACGTATGTAAGAAGGCAACAAAGAGATAACAAGTGGGTGAAACTGATTTCCACAGAGATGCAGACAAGGTTTGTGTTCTGAAAATAAGAGAAGTGGAGATGGAGTTGGAAGTGTGAGGGTGGAAGAAATGGTTTGAATCTATACCTTGCAGAACAGAGGGCCATAAGCTATACTCAGGACCCGGATCACATTTAAAACAAAGACCCATTTTTCAAGGTCTCAGTTACCAATGCTCCTCTTCCTTTACTAACTGACAGAGCAGAGGATGACTAAGGAGCACTGGAGTTGGGGCTAAGGGTGGAGATCCAGGTTGGCAGCTGGCCTAAGGTGCAAACTTGTCTCATCTTCTGCCCCCGGGAAGGAACAAAAATCTGACATAGGGTAACAGACAAGGCCCTTTCATCTTTCTTGCAGACTAACAGCTGAACCTTTCCTGAAGATGCCTAGGTTCT